TGAGCCATAAACTCTGGAAACAGTATGGAGGTTCCTCAAAAAATTAAAAATAGAAATCTCCCATGACCCATTGCACTGCTAGTATGTTACAAGGATAAAGACTGCGACTCAAAGGGTACATGCACTCTGATGTTTATAACAGCATATACTCATAGTATCCATTGGAAAGACCCCAAATGTCCCATCAACTTATGAATGGATATACGAATTGTGGTATGTGCAATACAATGGGACGTATTACTCAGCCATCGAAAAAGACGAAATCTCTAGCCATTTTTGCAATGACATGGATGTGAGCAGGTTTTTATGCTAAGCGAAATCAGAGGAATCACATGATTTCGCTACACGTGGAATTTAAAAACAAAACAGGTGAACATGGGGGAGAAAAGATAGGCAAACCAAGAATCTACGCTTAACTATAGAAACAAAGCTGAGGGTTGGATGGGTGACTGGGTGGGGATAGGTATGAAATGGATGATGGCATCCAGGGCCCTTTTGGGATAGTTACTGGGTTCATAGCAATGATGAATCACTGGGTTTCTACTCCTGAAAGCCAAAGACACACTACATGTATGTTAACTTGAATTTAAATCAAAAAAAGAACTGAAATCCTGCTTATGGTAATGATGCATGGAGAGATTAATTACCATAGCTGTTACATAAGTCAGTCAGAGAAGACAAATGCCATATAACTTTACTTATAAGTGGAATTTAAGAAACAAACGAATGAGACAAGGTGTAAAAAGAGAGAGAGGCAAAACTAGAGAAAAAAACTCTAGAGAGAATTCATGATGGTTACCAGCACGGGGGTGAAGGGGGAAGGGTTAAAATTGGTGGCGATTAATATGCTCACTTGTCAATGATGAGCTGTGGTGTTGATGGAAGTGTTGACTTAGTGTACACCCAAAAACTAATATTACTGTATTTAACTTAACTGGCAATTAAATTTAAATTTAAATTTATTTTTAATTTAATTTTTAATTTAAAATTAAAAAATAGTGTGATGTATATATAACAGTGCTACCAGAATATAAGTACACTAATAACAATTCAGTAATTAATTAAAAATACTAGAATCTCGAATAGGTGTAGGCTTCCTGACTCTAAATACAGTGTTGTTTCCACTTGCCAGTCTGCATTTCTATGTGTATTTCCAGATTGTCTGTGTAGTATTAAATGTGAAACATTACCTGTTATAATGTACTTTCCTTTTTTACTTGATATAGGGCTGAGTATAGCTCATTATGTAGCAGATAGTGCTAGTCTTCTATCCTTGTACAGATAATCAACATTTTGAACCATTTAGTTATAAACACATTTTTAAGAACTTTCAAGTAATGAACCTTGTGTAAATAAATTGAGAGGCTTTAGGGATTATAGTCCATGAAGAAAGGATGTTTCCTCTGTTTTGGCCTTAGGGTTAGAAATCAAGATGAACACTTCAGAAAATAAAGAATTAAAGTGACCTTT